AAAAAATCATGCAGCAGTCACTGCTCCCCGATTATTATTTTTTTAAATAAAAAATGCACTCCTCCTTGCTCTGCTGAGCACTGACCACTCAGAAAAGGTCTCCTCCACCTAGGGTGACCAGACAGCAAATGTGAAAAAAATCGGGACAGGGGGTGGGAGTGGGCGTGGGGGGAGGGTTAATAGGAGCCTATATAAGAAAAAGACCCAAAAACCGGGACTGTCCCTATAAAATTGGGACATCTGCTCACCCTACCTCCACCCGTGCACAACAGCCGTAATCCTGTCCCAGTGTGGAGGAGAGGTTGGGAGTGGAGAGCAAGCCTGCCCTGAGCTCACTTCTCTATCATGATGGAAGGCCAGGTGGGTCAAGCCTGAGTGGCACTGCAACCCAGTGCACCAGGTCACAATGCCAGTAGCACGGAGCCAGGCCCAGACCTGCAGGAGGGGAGCTGCTGTGAGACAGTGAGTCACAGACAAACAGGAAAATTCACACTATAGGTGACTTTTTGCTCCCCACCCACCCCCAATCATGACAAACCTGCAGCCCTAACTATGACCAATGGTCTGTAAATCCTGCTTTTTACATAGAATCAGGTTGGTTTTTTTTAAATTTATGTACCCACTATTTTACTTTTCAAAATTTGAGAGTTTTGGCAGGATGGTGAAATATTTGAATAGTTGAAAGTGTCACTCCTTGATATGTTGGGATTTGATGGTGGGATTAAAGAGTGGACCACCTAACTGGACCTTTAAAGAATTTTGCAAAGTTCCCTGTCAGGGGAACTTATTTCTTCTCTATCATTTTGTATTATTCTGTATTGGCCCCAGCTGAGAGTTGATGTACCCTTAAGAGCAGAAATACAGGTTTGGCTCCCACATCATTTGAAAATATATATTTTGTTAAATATTTATATAAGCATTATATAAAGCTTGAGGGATAGTATCACATTTTTAAGTTCCAACACCACAAAAGGTCCCATGTGAGCATAGCGTCTGCCTATACTGATCCCTTTGACGAATCTAGCTAATAGTGTCTATAATCTACAGTTTTCTCTAGCAAGTCATTAATTTGCTTGCAGCTGAAATTTCCAATATGAAGTTGTTTCATTAATTGTTGTAATACAAAGTGTTAACAAAAATGTGCATACATTTAACATGGTATCTTTTTATTACTCACTTAGCTGTGAGAAAAAATGAAATCCTAAAGAAATTTGTGTTGTGTAGTTAATTTTATTGTTGTAAACATAAATGTCAAACTAGTCAGATTCCTTTAGCATCTCACTTTTAGTATATGATTTCACTGAGAAACAGTAACACTGAATCATTCAACTCATCTTGCTTTTATTGAGACAGGTGGAGTGCAGATATTAAACTTCTGCAATATACAGATGCCTATCTAAGTTTGACAGCATTTTAAAATATGATATTTATTCATGTTTTCCAAGTTCATGTGAAAGCTATTCACACACTTTACTACAAGCCAGGATTACTCACCATATCTGCCAATCCCTAAAATTAGTTTTTTAAAAGACTATGTACAAGTCAGTGAAAAACAGCTCATCTCTTTGAAGGTTGAAGACAGGCTAATATTTTACTTTTCAGGAGAAGATAAGGTTGAAATGTCAGGAAACAGTGGCATATTTGGAGCAGTAATATTTAGAGGCTGCTTTCAGTTGAGAATTATTACACTATCGAAGACTTTCACATAGTACAAGACTCAACAAGTTACCTACACTGAGGTGAAATTAATTTTTAAATGGAACTTTCTGAAAAAAAGTTAAAGATGCTGACCTATAAAGTTGGTGCCTTCACAAACCATATAGGAAATGCACCTGTGAAAAATTAGGAGTTCATTATAACAGCCTCTAGTGACTTGAGCTACAGGAGATGCCCTTTTAGCCCAGCAGCCAAGTACTCATTTGGGAAAGTGGTGATACTTAGGGTTTGTATTTGATCTGCTAATTAAAAACAATTTCACAACAGCAGCCATGTTCACACTGTTAACTACCTACAGTTATATTATTTGGGACTAGCTACTGTTCCCTTTGGAATCAAAACAAAAAATTTAGTTGAATCAAGCCCATTGTTTGAGGAGAATTAAAAACTACACTTATTAAATAGGGAAAGAATCTGTTAAGTGTAAACAAGTTTAGTTTATTCATATCACCTTTTTCCATTAATAGTAGTGATCATTAGTCTTTAAAAATCTGTTTGAATCAAATATTTCTTACAAATTTTGTCTCTAATTTAGGTTCGTTATTCCAATTGAAGTTTATATAAATAAGGAGGCTTTTTGCCCTTTTTTTTTTTTTTTTTTTTTGCCTATTGGAAAGGCTTTTTGTATTTTTCCCCATGTCTATGATTCTATGTATTTGTTCTGCTGAAAGCCTTGTTCATCTACACTTGTTTTTCTGCCCAAGTATTCTACTTAAAGAACAGTAGCACGGCACCATATGCGATACTCTTGAATAATAAAGCAAGCCAAGAGACAATGAAACTTCATGAGGATCATTCTGCAAAAATGATAATCCGTCACTTTAAATGTCAGGATTGTACTGTCTCTCTAATTAGGCCCTGATTTTGCAGAGGGATCTGTATAGGGATAAGACTGCTTCCATGTGGATCCAATGGCAAGACTGGGACCCTTGAGTGCAAGGTCCTTGGGGTAGGGACAGTATCTTATATTTTCTGTACAGCAGGGTGGATAAAAAATTATTTAAAAAAATATTTAAAAAACCCCACAGATTGTATCTAGATAAAAAAATCTTATTTAAATTAAATACTGGTTTATTTTTAAAAAATATATACCTATTTAAAAATAAACTTGACATTGAAAAACATATGTTAAGGTTTCAATTTAGATTACAATCTATTTAAATCATTTCAATAAAATATAAAAAATAATATTAAGCAATACATGATTGCTGCCAAATTTTAAAGAAACATCAAACCACTGAACTGGTGAAACCTGGAACCAGGGTTTACAGAAGTGCTAAACCAGCTTTTGACATCACTAGCCTCTTCTCCAGGTGCAGAGCAGAGGGAGTATTTTCTTCATTTTAGTTTATTCAAAGTTAAAAAACCAGTTGGGAGTTGAAAAATCAAGAAAACTTATTTTCCTCCTCTGATTCATAAATAAAAACTAGGTGTGAGGATGAGATCCACTAGTTCTACAATCTTAAAGGACATGAAGGACTGTCTGGAAAAACTTCAGTTTATTAACTACAGATAAAACTTCCTTGTTTAATAAATCAGTTTTAAATGCAAAACTTGCTTTGGTTTAAAAGGTTTATGTATCCCACACGATTAAAGTAGTAGTATTTAATTAAAATGCTGTTTTTTTAAAATTTTAATTGAATTTGAATTTCCATCCAAATAGAGCTGGACACAAAATAACCACAATTAAAAAAAAATCTAGTAAATAAGAAATGCATCATTGACCATTTTCTAACATAATAAAAATGCAAAAATTAAGAATCCGAATAAATGTAAGTTAAACTACATAAAAATTGTGTATAGTGTATCCAACTAGTTATCAAAAAGAAGCACTAAATATAGTGTAAAGTTGGAAATCAACATGTTTGAATGGTTACCAACTAATGAGAATCAACCTTTCTTTAGGACAGTGTTTCCCAAACTTGGGACGCCACTTGTTTAGGGAAAGCCCCTGGCGGGCCGGGCCGATTTGTTTACCTGCCGTGTCCGCAGGTCAGGCCAATTGCGGCTCCCACTGGCCGCGGTTCACTGCTCCAGGCCAATGGGAGCTGCTGGAAGCGGCAGCCAGTATGTCCCTTGGCCCACGCCGCTTCCATTTCCCTAAACAAGCAGCGTCCCAAGTTTGGGAAACACTGCTTTAGGACAATAACTAAAAAAAAAAAAAAATAGGAAAGCATTATTAAAGTTTATTTAAATTTTTAAACCAATCTACCCTGCCTGTATAGTTCCAAGAACAGTGCTTAAGAAATAATTAGTTATAATGACAAACAAATTGTATGTGCCTTTTCACACACCCTGAACTGCATGTATATGAAGCTAGATTTTATTACAGTATGCAGCACCTTTATAATCTAAAGCCTCATCTTGCAAACACTTAAGTATGTGGGAGATCATACTCCTATTATCTTCTATGAGACTAATAAGGTGCCTAAAGTTACTCATGTGTGTGTTTGCAGGATCAGGGCATGAATCTTTTGTTACTTTCCAAAAAAATGAGATAACATGTTTTGGAAATGGAGATGATTTAAACATACAAGTTAAGAACAGACAAGTCATTTAATGTTTTCTAGTTCCTATACCTTCTGTCCCTGTACATTTTTGTTAAGAATGGTCAGGTGAAAGATTGTATAACATAAATTAACATCTACATTCTGTCTTGTGACAATGGTTAAGAAAGTGTCACTTTCTTCTTACACAGAACTCTAATAGAGTAAGGAAGACATTATTCCTGAAGTTACACGCTCTGCTCAACTGTACAGCTCCTATCTAGAACCTTTCCCAGCCCCCTTTCCCATGTCTGGATTCTGCTACTGATTTTTTTAAAAGTAAACACATATCCTTACATGTCCATAGGTTGACTGAAATTTATAGAATGATAGAAATGTCACGAGGTCATCTAATCCAGCCCCCTCTGCTGAAGCAGGACCAAGTATGCCTAGACCAGTGGTTCCCAAACTGGGGTTTGTGAACCCCTGGTGGTTCACAAAATGTTACAGGGGGTTCTTGGGGAAAAAATCCCTAATGTCAGACAGAGCTGTCCCTAGGGACTGTGGGCAGTGTGAGGACAGCAGCCCGGAGCCCCTGGACTTCCAAGAGCTAAGAAGATCAAAGCAAGCCTATCTATCACATTGAGGAGATTTAAACTTCAAGACTCCTTATAAGAAATGGAAAGGGAGGTGGATTTTTTTGCTGTTTTTAAAATTAAATAGACAGTATTGTTTTTAAAATTATTATGAAGAACAAGTTTAAGCTTTGTTGTAATGTGCATTGTTTGCCTAGACTGTTCAAGACCTGAATGCTTGTGTAGGAGGAACTCTTTGAGTTGGCTTCTTAAATACCTTCATGCTGTTTCACATCTGATGCTCCTTGATGAAACATAGGAGCCTTGTCTTATAATAGGCTTATTCAAAGCGATACAAGCTACGGAAGTGAGATCTTGGAAGAGTGTTGCTGTTTTCATAATGTAATAAAAATACTGTAATGATAAATAATTATAATAATAAATAGTGTGTAATAAGCATGTCATAAAAACAAATGTCCAAGATCACTGCTTTTATAATTTATATTCAGGTAAAGGAGAAAATCCCTGGAAAGAGACATGACAGGGCTCCGGGGAGTGGGAAGTGGGAGGGAGTTTGCTGGCGGCTGCGGCTGCTGCATCTGAACAAGCAGGCTTCAGTCTGGTGAGTGCCAATCTACTTAAAGGGGCAGCATGTGTCTGTCACACACACACACACACACACTGTCTTTCTCTCTCTCACACACACACACCTCCCAACACATACTTTTTAGGTTGTTGTTACTTCTTGATGCTTCCTGCAATGCACATATATTCCACAATTGTATTCTTTCAAAGTGCTGTTAGTTTAGTTTTTTGACTCATCTATGCTTTTCATAATTTTTATTTCTCTCTTAGGCTTAAATTTAATTCTTTGAGTCATGAGTTTTAAAATGCCTAACCTGTCCTGGCTGGAGTAGTTATTCCTATAGTAACTTTAAAAATATATATTATATCTAGGTTTTTTGTTTCTATTGGTGGCATACATCCGCACATTACTTTGATATTGGTGCACATAACAAAATGCATTCCACACATGGAGGGAAAAAATTAGAGGGAACATTGCTTCCCACTCATTAATGAAAATATTGGGAGGTGATGGGTCCCTGCGGGACCCCACTAGTTACATTCACCCAGTCTGACAGTGAACCACTGAAAACTACTCTTTGAGTATGGTCTTTTAACCAGTTTTGCATCCCCACTTTACAGTAATTTAATCTAGACCACATTTCCCTAGTTTGCTTATGAGAATCTCATGTGGGACTGTGTCAAAAAGCCTTACTAACATCAAGATATATCACATCTACTGCTTCTGCCTATCCACTAGGCAATAACACTGTCAAAGAAGGATGTTAGGTTGGCTTGGTGAGATTTTTTTCTTGACAAATCCATGTTAGCTATTACTTATAACCTGATTATCTTCTTGGTGCTTACAAACTGATTGCTTAGTAATTTGTTCTGATATCTTTCACGATATCAAAGTTAGGCTGATTGGTCTATTATTCCCAAGTCTTCTCCCCCACTCCCTTTTTATGATAGGTACTATGTTTGCCCTTCTCCAGTCCTCTGAGACCTCACCCATGCTCTATCAGTTCTCAAAGAGAATAGCTAACAGTTCCAAGATTGTTTCAACTAGCTCCTTAAGTACCCTAGGGTCATTTCATCAGGTCTTGCCACCTTGAAATATCTAACTTACTTAAATATTCTTTAACCTGTTCTTTCCCTATTTTGGCTTGCATTCCTTCGCACTTGCTGTTAATATTACTTGTGTTGAGTGTCTGGTCACCATTAACCTTTTTAGAAATGACTGAAGAAGAATAGACATTAGCCTATTCTTGAAGTCTCAGCCTTCTTGAAGTCAGTTATTAGTTCTCCTTCCCTACTAAGTAGAAAACCTACATTTTCCTTCATCTCTCTCTTGTTCCTAATATATTTAAAGAACAATGACTTACGTCCCATGCTAGGTGTAACTCATTTTATACCTTAGCCTTTGTGATACTTCCAAGTAGTTACACATTTGAGAGCCAGATGCTAAAACAGAAGAAACTCCATTAGTTTCCTCATTAGAGGAAACTTATTTCATGCAAATCTATGTTTTCAAAGTCAACAGCCTAGTAATTTTTTTAAAACCTCAATTTTAGATATTACCAATAAAATTCACCAGTCATCACAGGTAGCATGACCATGTGGTCATAAGAACCCCCCCCCCCCCCAAAAAAAACAACAACCACATTTAAATGACACTATCTTGTTGTAAATACATCCTTGGGGTGCAAGTCTGGGGTTATAGCACTGGGGCGTAAAGCAAGATCCAAAAAAAATATACATACCATATAATTTAGAGTATGATATGAACAATGAATGCTGTTGATCTTACTTTCATTTCTTGCTCAGAAGAACCATGGTGCAATGATCTACAGAGAATATATTTTAAAAATAATAAATTACCTTGGAAGCTGTGTTAGAAATCTCTCTGATAATTTTTTCATATTTTTTATTTTGTAGGAATTGGATCAATGTTGCGTTTACATTCATTTAACCTAGGAGTACATTTTTGGAATGAATAAATACATGAAAATTCAGCTCAAACCACTGCATCTAGTTTTCAGTGAGTTACTTCTTTACAGAGTGACCAGATGCTCTATATTTGATAGGACTGTCCTATTTTCTAGTAAACTAACCTAATTTTGTCTGTCCCTTGGTAGCATAATGCACTGGCTTTTTTGGATATGTGATGTTAGCCTCTGCTCAATAGGCCACAGAGAGTATGTCTTCACTGCAGAGTTACCTTGGGCTCTATCACTGGGCCAGGTTTCTCCCCACTTCCAAAGCATGTATGGCCATGCCCAGTCTTTTCAAGGAAGTTTATTTCTTTCACAGAGGTTAGCACAGAAAACAGTCTTAACTCAATCCTTGGCCCCAGGGCCACCACTTCTAGAGGTCTCTAGCACTCCAACTCCTGGCAGCTTGCTAGCCTCAGCCAGCTCTGCGCCCTTCCTAGAGCCCCTGTCTCTAGGGACCCGCCACAAGTATTAGCTCTACTCCTATATGACTTTCCCTTCCCAGGGCTCAGCGTGCCTCAATCCTTCCTCTCCCAGCTACATCCTAGCAGCCCTTTATAGTCCCAGCTGGAGCCCAGCCCTTTTTAATTGACTGGATTGGGTTCACCAGCTCTGGTCCAGGGGAACTGGGCTTAGTCTATCCACAGGGACTAGCTACCCTGAGGCAGGCTCATATTCCTCATGTTGTCCCAAGCCCTCTTAGAGTTTGGGGGTGCTTTCAACCTGGGCTACCTGGCTCAGCTGGGGATGTGGGTTAGAGCTCAGGTGTTGCTTTCATTCAGGTTGGTAACCCACCCACTTTGCAGGTTAAATCACTTGAGTGCTGGAAGTCCTCCAAGGCCTTCCCCCAATTCTGCCCCATGACAGACAGTTTCTCCCACAATTACCTAGGAAAGGACCATGCAGTAGCTCAGCTTACTGTAGCACAAGGAATCATGGGATATGTCCCCAGGAGTACTAGTGACAGAGATGGGCAAGTACAGTACCAGTAAGGATGCAATAACTTGGATATGCTTTGCAGCATGGCCAATCACTTGAGTTATCTCTGCAGTGAAGACATGCTAAGAGATGATAAGACATATGAACTACTATGGAAGTATCTCTTAATATTAAAAGTGTTTTAATATTAGCTCCCCAAATACATGTGCTTTATGTAGCAGTTGTGTCTATAGCACATGGATTTATCACATCCTCTTTTGACACTGCCATTAGTATGCAGTTCCTTGAGTAAGAGAAACATGTGGTTAACAAGAGAACCACACATTCCCTCCTCATACATTTGTGCAGAATGCACTTACACATACATAGAAGGTTCTGTAACTACCTTACCCCTCCCAAGGGACATTAAGTTATTATTTAACATTTTATGGAATAATAAAGAGCATGTGGGTATATATTTTAGGTGAGTAAAATGCTGATGAATCAGTTTAGTATATGTGTAAAAAAAAAGAAGAGGGATCTCGATTAAGACTTACAACAGAAGGGAGTTTGTTACCTTACTTATAATGTTCACTATTAAATTCTATGGTTAATGTAGGAATACATCAAATATCATGAAACTCACAATAAAGCAATGAGAGTTGACACTACCATAATTATAAGGAAAAAATAAGGTTTATACCAGCCAAAGTACAAAGACCTAATAAGCTCTTCCTGCACTTCAAAAATCCGTCCATAAAGCAAACAAGGAATCCACATTCTTGTCTAAATTCTTGCTCTGTTCTGTGGATTTATGTTTCCCATACATTCTGAGAAATCAGCTTCTTTTGACAGACTTGAAGCATCAGGAAGAGATTCTGGGACAGGGAGAGAATGTTGACCAATTGCTAGATTACTGGCAACAGCAGCTATAGATGTTTCTGCTACCTAGAACAGGCTATTAACCCTTGATTAACACCTCTCAGGGTCCTAGAGTCCAGGCTCCAGCCCAAGCCCAAATGTCTACACTGCAATTAAATAGCCCCTTAGCCCATGGGCCAGACAAAGGTTTTTAATTGCTGTGTTGACATACCCAAATATTCTAAATATCCTTTTGCCTTTCTGGAATTTGTTAGCATTTGTTTTCATTAGTTTTAGATAGGATTCAGAAGAAAGAGTACTCCTGGGCGAATTCTGCCCTACTGTGCATGTGCAGAATTCATGTCTCTCCCCACCCCCCACAGATTTTTTTTCTCCGCAGAATATAGATTCTGCTGGAGAGGTGCTGCAGTTACACCTTTTTCCCACCAAGGGCTGGTGTAGCACCAGAAGAGAGGGCAGCCACCCTGTGCAGAGGCTGCATTCCTCACAGCAGGGCCAGGTGAGGAGGCATGGGATAGACAGAGCGGAATACACAGGGAGGGCACAGATTGGGGTTCAGAAGGGCTATGGTAGGGACAGACTGGGGTACTTAACTCAAGATCTAGTAGGGTGACAGTATTGAGCCAGAGGATGAATGGGAGGGGGCTGCAGGGCCACATGGGGCCAGGAGGTAGAAGGTGTAGGGACACGGGGATGGGGCAAGGAGACAGGGATACATGGGGATAGCGGGGAGAGGGTGCAGGGACACATGAAAGCAAGGGCAGATGTACCTGACTGAATGGGAGAGGCTGGGGTCCCCAACTCCCTAACAATCCCCCTGCAAAAAAACCCTGTTCTAGACATCTCCTACCCACACCTAACAACCCTCCAGGTTCACTCCCAGGCGCCTTCCCTTTCTCTCAACTCCCCCATTATTGCTTCTGAGGGGTGCAGGAAATACGTTTTTGTATTGTAGTTTAAATGAATTACTCAAAGTTCTGTGTTAATATGCCAAGTAAGCAGGGTTTTGGAGAGGAGCCCAGAGCTGGAGCGCGGAGCAGCTCCGGAGCAGTGGAGCTCCAGGTTTTTGCCTGGAGCTGGAGCGGAGCTCCAAAGCCCTGCTAGTAAGGAATCTATTTGTCGAAAAAACATTTCCTGAATCTTTTTCTTTTACCTGTATTCTTACAGATATGCTTGCTGACAAGTATTTTTTGAAATAAATTACCAAAATAATTGAAAGTGGCATTATTATAGTGTGTTATTTTGACAAACAAAATATGCAGAATTTTAAAATATTATAAAAAAAATTAAAACATTTAAATTTTTTGGTGTAGAATTCCCCCAGGAGTAAAAGTGTGTCCTTAACTCTGAAGTATAACGGTGTTCAGACTACTCTTTCTTCTGAAATCTATGCAGACATCTCTTCTTGGGACTGAATACCAGTGGATCCAACCCGCTAGTGATTCTATTGGCATCCCCAGGTTTCTTAAAGCTGGCATAGTCATCCCTAGGCCCCCTCTCCTTTATGAGGGTGTAGCCAGGAAGAGGACATGACCAAAGGACTGCAATACTCATGAAATCCATGGTTATAACAGCTCTCAAGGTATTTCACTGAGTGCAGTTTAGACACTGCTCAGAGTTGTGCCAGGGCTGGAACTAAGGAGAAGAAACATGGAATAAAGCCACCTATCCTCCCATCTCAGTTTTGAAGAGCACTGCTCTGGCACATTATCAAGTCTAGACCTTAATCTTCAAAGCACATTAATAATCAATTAATCCTGATATCACCCTTATGTATAGAAGTACGTATTCATATGACAATTTTACAGATGGGGAACAGAAGCAGAGAGGTTAGATGTCTTGCTCAAGGCTAGAATCAGTCAGTATAGCTAGGATTAGAACCCAGGAATTCCTGTTGCAATTCTAATGCTATGATAAGGGAACAAATTAGATAGCTTCTTTTTCAACTGCATCACTTTTTTCCATTCAGGATTTTGTTTTCTAGAAAGGGCTTCCTCTTACAGCTTTTAATACTTAACTAGTCATTTTAATAATCAGCATAGAGTTTTGTAATTTGTTACTTCTGTGTCCTGATTAGGAAATACGATAGAATTGTAAATATCTAATGGGAATGGGATTATTAGCAGGCCCTGTTTTGTGATGGAATGCTGCACTGTTAATCTCTTCTGTTTCATAAAATATATAGCAATGTTTCCCAAACTTGGGACATCACTTGTGTAGGGAAAGCCCCTGGCAGGCCGGGCCGGTTTGTTTACCTGCCGCGTCCGCAGGTCCAGCCGATCGTGGCTCCCACTGGCCGCGGTTCGCTACTCCAGGCCACTGGAAGCTGCTGGAAGCGGCGGCCAGCACGTTCCTCAGCCCACACCGTTTCCAACAGCTCCCATTGGCCTGAGGCAGTGAACTGCGGCCAGTGGGAGCCGCGATTGGCCGGACCTGCGGGCGCGGCAGGTAAACAAACTGGCCCGGCCTACCAGGGGCTTTCCCTACACAAACGGCGTCCCAAGTTTGGGAAACACTGTGTTGAAGAGTTTTCATGAGGGATACCATAGGCATCCACTTCCTGGAACTCTGAGTCACCTCTACAGCATGTTGATCTCCTAGCTAGACCAAAGTTGTGAGAGTCCAAAGTTGATACAGATCACTGACTACAAAGCAAAACCCTTAGTTGATCTGATAATATGAATGGCAACAGGTGTGACAGGAAGGGTTACTAGTGCTTGGATCATAGAAGTAGAATTTCTGCTGAACAGGGCAAACCTCCAGTCCACTGGAAAGTCTTTTATCTACCAGATACACCTTGGTGTATGGCCAAGGAACCATCTATGGTACATTTATCAGTTATGATTACCTAAATAGATATTCATCTATATGTTTAAAACAGGTGTGTTCAAAAAAAGTGGCCCACAGCTAGGTATCTATAATGAATCCTGCATCTTCTCTTTCCTAAAATATGGAGCTTCAGTCTGTGGAGATTGTACTTTCTAGTATCTAGTGCACCTTCTTAATGCAAGCAAAGGGCTGTTCATATCAGGACAGAACATTTAATACTGGCACGTAAATCTCCATGGGATATGCAGACACATTAAAGATGAAGTTAGCTACCATTTATTCCATATTATGCAAATTAGTTGTGGCCTTTGAACTTCTGTCAACTTCTCAATTAAATCTTCTGCTGAGCAGATGTTTTTGTACCCTTGTTTTAAAGGGTATTCCATTTTTCAATTCAGATAATAAAATTTGCTATTGCATGCTGATTCGTTGGCCAGGTGGATTGCTGCATGGAGGGTGGAGCATGAAATTTCCACCCACCTTTTTTTTTTAATTGGCAAAAACTCTACATATCACCCTCATACGCAATATACCAGTGTTCCTGTAAGGTGTAATTAAATGCAAAATTATTCTTTAGCCTTCTGCCCATGTAAGGGGTTAAGAAACATGTGAGCTCTAAATTACTGACTTTTATTCATTATACATTTTGTATCTTTTTACAAACAAGGACTGAAACCCCAAAACCTATCAGATCATTAAACTAAAATTGCAAGACAATGGGGAAAAAATGACTAAAAGTATCTGAATAACGACGATGCAAGAAAAGAAGGTTGGAGGAAGCTGGGTCAAAATGGAATGACCTGGCTAATTATAATCGGACACTGTTCCCAGGAAAGATAATGGAGGGGCTGATATGGGACTCAATTAATAAACAATTTAAGGAGGGTAAGATAATTAATGCCAATTAACACAGGTTTACAGAAAACAGGACCTGTCAAATTTAATCTTTTTTGATTAAATTATAAGTTTGATTGATAAAGGTAGTAGTGTTGATGTAATGCTTAGATTTCTGTAAGACATTTGACAAGGTACCGCATGGCATTTTGATTAAAAAGCTAGAATGATATAAAATCACCATGACACACATTAAATTGATTAAATTTCTAACTGATAGGTCTCAGACTGTAAATGTAAATGGAAAAATCATCAAGCAGGAGTGTTTCTAGTGGGGTCCTGTTGGGATTGGTTGCTGGCCCTATGCTCTAATATTTTTTATTAATGACCATGCAGAAAACAGAATCACTGTGCAGATGACACAAAGTAGGGGAGTGATAAATAATGAAGTGCACAGGTCACTTATATAGAGCAATGTGCATTGCTTGATAAGCTGGGCACAAGCAAACATGTGTTTTAATATGGCTAAATCTAAAAATATACATCAAAAACAAAGAACATAGGCCATACTTACAGGATGGAGGACTCTAGCCTCAGAAGCAGTGACTCTGAAAAAGACTGGGGAGTCCTGGTGGATAATCAGCTCAACGTGAGCTGCTAGACCAGCATTGTGTACATCTCCACGGCAAAGAAAAACCTACAGCACCAAGTCTCAGAGCCCAGGTCAATTGACTCAGACTCATGCGGCTCAGGCAGCAGGGCTAAAAATAGCAGTGTAGACATTCCTGTTTGGACTGGAGCCCGGGGCTCTGAAACCTGGCAAGGTGAGGGGATCAGAGTCTGGGCTCTAGCCCAAGTGGGAACATGTACCCTGCTATTTTTAGCGCTGCAGCCTGAGCCCTGTGACCCTGAGTCAGCTAACCCAGGCTCTGACACTTGGCGTTTTTCTTTGCAGGTAGACATACCCAACATGGCCAAAAAGACAAATGAGAGCCTTGCATACATAAACAGGGGAATCTCAAGTAGGAGGAGAGAGATTATTTTACTTCTGTATTTGGCACTGGTGTGGCCACTAATGGAATACTGTGTCAAGTTCTGGTGCCAACAATTCAAGAAGGATGTTGATAAACTGGAGAGTGTTCAGGAAAGAGCCACGAGAATGATTCAGGAATTAGAAGATGTGCTTTTATAGTGATAAACTAATTTGATTGAGCTCCTCGAGTCAAACGGAGAAGCTTAAGGGGTGACTTGATTATAGTCTAGAACCCACTACAGGGGGAACAAATATTTGATAATGGGCTCTTCAGTCTAGCAGAGAAAGGTATAACATGCTCCAAAGGCTGAAAGTTGAAGCTAGACAAATTCAGACTGCAAATAAGGTACAAGTTTTTACCAGTGAGAGTAATTAACCATTGGAACAATTTATCAAAGGTCATTGGATTCTCCATCACTGGCAATTTTAAACTCAAGATTGGGTGTTTTTCTAAAAGATCTGCTCCAGGAATTATTTTGCGGAAGTTCTACGGCTGGTGTTATACAAGAGGTTAGACTAGATGATCACAATGATCCCTAGAATCTATGAAAAACTTTCTAGGTGTCACACTAAAGTGGCCTGATCACGTGAAAAGGAACCAGGAACTCCTGCAGCTGTATTCTTTTCCCCATGGGACATCAGTAATTCCCTTTTAAGGGCCCCTAATGGGTGCCTTTCAAAGATGGCATCTTCCATTAGAGGTGTGTTCCTGCAAAGTCTGTCCTCTTTTGGGGGCTGGGTGCTGGTAAAGGAATCTATTTAAATGATTTTTCAGTTATGACAGCCTTCAAAAAGCCTTCCTCTGAATGTATTTGTGTTGAAACCTCCAATTACAGTAGGAGCAGCTGCTTCTTAGTTTTTGTCATCAGTAACAGGTGTACAGATTAATATTTTCTGTGCAGGTAAGTGAGTCATTGCAAATAGCTCAGAGACAGCTAAATAATGGTCTCCAGAGAAAACTATAGTAAAAGGTGATAGTCAATTTAGTTATTATTAGGGCTGTCAATCGCAGTTAACTGACTCGATTAACTAAAAAATTAATCACGATTAATCACACTGTTAAACAATAGAATACCAATTGAAATTTATTGAATATTTTCAGATGTTTGTCTACATTTTCAAATATATTTATTTATATTACAACACAGAATACAAAGTGTACAGTGCTCACTTTATATTTATTACAAATATTTGCACTGTAAAAATAGTATTTTTCAATTTACCTCATACAAGTACTGTAGTGTAATCTCTATCATGAAAGCGCAACTGACAAATGTAGATTGTGTTACATAACTGCACTCAAAAACAAAACAACGTAAAACTTTAGAACTTACAAGTCCATTCAGTCCTACTTCTTGTTCAGCCAATCTCTAAGACAAACAAGTTTGTTTACATTTACAAGAGATAATGCTGCCTGTTTCTTATTCACAATGTCACCTGAAAGTGAACAGGATGTTCACATGGCACCTCTGTAGCTGGCTTTGCAAGATATTTACGTGCCAGATATGCTCAACGTTCTATGCCCCTTCATGCTTCGGCCACCATTCCAGAGGACATGCTTCAATGCTGATGATGCTTGTTAAAAAAATAATGCATTAATTAAATTTGTGACTGAACTTCTTGGGGGAGAATTGTATGTCTCCTGTTCTGTTTTACCTGCATTTCATGTTACAGCAGTCTCAGATGATGACCCAGCACATGTTTGTTTTAAGAACGCTTTCACAGCAGATTTGACAAAACGCAAAGAAGGTAACCATGTGAGATTTCTAAAAATAGCAACAGCACTTGACCCCGGGTTTAAGAATCTGAAGTGCCTTCCAAAATCTGAAAAGGATGAAGTGTGGAACATGCTTTCAGAAGTCTTAAAAGAGCCACACTCCGAAGCAGAAACTAGAGAATCCGAACCACCAAAAAAGAAAATCGACCTTCTGCTGGTAGCGTCTGACTCAGATGATGAAAATGAACATGCATCAGTCCGCTCTGCTTTGGATTATTATAGAGCAGAACCCATCATCAGCATGGAGGCATGTCCCCTGGAATGGTGGTTGAAGCATGAAAGGACATATGAATCTTCAGCACATCTGGCCTTGCAATGCCAGCTACAACAGTGCCATGAGAATTGCCTGTTCTCACTTTCAGGTGACATTATAAACAAGAAGCGAGCAGCATTATCTCCTGCAAATTGTAACCAAACTTGTTTGTCTGAGTGATTGGATGAACAAGAAGTAGGACTGAGTGGACTTGTAGGTTCTAAAGTTTTACATTGTTTTATTTTTGAATGCAGTTATTTTTTGTACATAATTCTACATTTGTAAGTTCAACTTTCATGATAAAGAGATTGCACTACAGTACTTGTATTAGGTGAATTGAAAAACACTATGTATTTTGTTTTTTTACAGTGCAGATATTTGTAATAAAAATAAATATAAAGTCAGCATTGTACACATTATATTGTGTTTTAATTTAAATCAATATATTTGAAAATGTAGAAAATATCCAAAAATATTTAAATAAATGGTATTATTATTGTTGAACAGTGCAATTAATTGCGATTAATTTTTTTAATCGCTTGACAGCACTAGTTATTTATATTTTTATATATATAAGAAAAAACAGTCCAGAAAGGGTTACTATGCACAGTTGATTCCTAGACCACATGGTAACTAGTCAACATTAAGAGCTGGTGGCCTATTACATGTTTAAAAATTGTTCTTGGTTGGCACCTGCAGAATTACTCACTCAGAGGAATGGGGAAAATATGCTGATAGGATATAAGAGAGCCATGAAAGACTTCACATTCAGAAGTATAACAATGTCTAGATAACTTTCTATATCTGCATTTTTAACCAGAATATTTTGTTTGCAGATTCCTTGCTCAACAAATGCACTCTTCCAAGCCAGCATAGCTGTGGTCTCTCAATACAAATACGTTTAAGTCCTTGCTCAGTGTAGATTTTACTGCAAGAAATCTAATCAGATTTCATGTGACCAGCAGGTCATTATAGAAATCTTATTTTCTTTGCCTCTCTAGTACTCCTACACAATATCCCATTGTTGGAAGTATGAACACAGGCATCTAAACAATTTTAGAACGTGTTTGTTTTAGGCAATAGCCAGTCCTTTATCCTTTTTGTCCTGCTTTGCGTGTGGGTATGTCAACACTACGGGATTAATCCGAATTTATATAATTCAAATTTTGGAAACAGATTGTATAAAGTCGAATGTATGCGGCCACACTAAGCACATTAATTCGGTGGTGTGCATCCATGTACCGGGGCTAGCATCGATTTCTGGAGCACTGCACTGTGGGTAGCTATCCCATAGCTATCCCATAGTTCCCGCAGTCTCCTCCACCCATTGGAATTCTGGGTTGAGATCCCAATGCCTGATGGGGCCAAAAACATTGGCGCGGGTGGTTCTGGGTATATCTTCCCCACTCTCCAGGGAAGCAATGGCAGACAACCGTTTCGCGCCTTTTTCCTGGGTGAATAGTGCAGATGCCATACCACGGCAAGCATGGAGCCCGCTCCGCTCAAGACAGCAGTCATGAACATTGTAAACATCTCGTGCATTATTGTGTAGTTTATGCTGAATCAGAACATGCAAAACCAGGCTGCGAGGAGTAGGCTACAGCAGCGCGAGTGATGAGGATATGGACATGGTATTCTATCAAACCACAGGACCCGGTGCTTTGGAGATCATGCTGTTAATGGGGCAGGTTATAGCCATGGAATGCCGATTCTGGGCCCGGGAAACAAGCACAGACTGGTGGGACCGCATAGTGTTGCTGGTGTGGGATGATTCCCAGTGGCTGCGAAACTTTCGCATGCGTAAGGGCACTTTCATGGAACTTTGTGACTTGCTTTCCCCTGCCCTGAAGCGCCAGAATACCAAGATGAGAGCAGCCCTCACAGTTGAGAAGCGAGTGGCGATAGCCCTGTGGAAGCTTGCAACGCCCGACAGCTACCAGTCAGTCGGGAATCAATTTGGAGTGGGCAAATCTACTGTGGGGGCTGCTGTGATGCAAGTAGCCAAAGCAATCACTAAAGTGTTGCTACGAAAGGTAGTGACTCTGGGAAACGTGCAGGCCATAGTGGATGGCTTTGCTGCAATGGGATTCCCTAACTGTGGTGGGACGATAGATGGAACCCATATCCCTATCTTGGCACCGGAGCACCAGGGTACCCAGTACATAAACCGCAAGGGGTACTTTTCAATGGTGCTGCAAGAACTTGTGGATCACAAGGGACATTTCACCACCATCAACGTGGGCTGGCTGGGAAGGGTTCATGACGCTCGTGTCTTCAGGAACACTAATCTGTTTAAACGGCTGCAGCAAGGGACTTATTTCCCGGACCAGAAAATGACCGTTGGGGATGTTGAAATGCCAATAG